CGATAGTTCACTATCTGGATATAGGGAGAGACCTACAACAGAAAGTCAAAGAGGCATATGCGCAGGACCCTATTTATAATGATGTCCTCAAGAGAGTTAAGGAGTATTCAGAATCTGAGCTAGACTACCGCACTACAGATGGGTTGCTATTTGAAAAGACTAATGTAGCTGACCGTTTGTGCGTTCCCGATAGTGAAGAGATCCGTAGTTTGATCTTAGGGGAATGTCACGACACAGAAGGACATTTTGGCTGGCAGAAGACGTTAGCCAACCTTATACGCCCGTGTACATGACCAGGTATGAAAGCCGACTGCATAGAGTATGTCCGCAGTTGCAAAGTCTGCCTACGGAATAAGACCACTACGCGGGCCCCTCTTGGTCTTCTCAGACCCTTGCCTATTCCCACATTACCCGAAGATTTTGTGTCTATTGACTTTATGGATGCTGGGGTTAAGAGTAGGCATGGCAAGAGCCAAGTCATGGTTGTAGTTGATAGATTTAGTAAATATGCAGTCTTTGTTCCTTTACCTGCAGAGGCACGAACAGATTTAGTTATAGACAAGTTCTTTGATCATTGGGTCAGTGAACAAGGTCTCCCGCTGTCAATAGTTAGTGACAGAGATACCAGGTTCACTAGTCAGAACTGGCAGGAATTGATGAGAGTCTATGGCTCTAGGTTGTTCATGTCATCTGGCCGTCATCCTGAGACTAACGGTCAGACTGACCAGATGAACAAAATCCTGCAGCAAGTTCTCAGAATGTAATTAGACCTGATCAACTTAACTGGGATGAGATGCTTCCCAAGGCAGCCAGCGCATACAATAACAGCGTGCACTTGCGACTTGTCGCACTCCCAACGAGTTACGTAAGTCCTTTAGACCGCGTAGACCATTTGAGGGACTGAACCGTGATCAGATTCAAAGGCTACCACCTGGTACTAGGGAGTTTGCACTACACTATGAAAAGGAGATTGCTACCGTCACAGAGAACCTCAGGAAGGCCCAGCATAGAATGATAGAGCAAGCCAATAAGCACCGTCGCCCATCACAGTTTCAAGTAGGCGACTTAGTCTGGGTCAAATCCGAAGAATTTGCTTCTGAGGTGAACATCTCGCAAAAGTTACTGCCTGCATACCGAGGACCGTGGCCGGTTTTAGAAGTCAAGGGTGGAGAGGATGGACCGTCCTACACAGTCGAGATTCCAGCGCACCTCCACACCTACCCAGTGTTTCATGTGTCAAAGTTGCTGCCTTGTACCACAAGTCAACAGTTTCCATCATGGAGGTCCATGATCCCTCCGGACATGGATGGAAGGTATGAGATTGATGGCATCATAGGTGAAGATGTCTTCAGAACAGGGGTTAGGGGTCGTCCACAGAAACAGTATAAGGTCAGGTTCGCTTTTCAGGAACCAGAGGACGACCGCTGGTTTACACGAACAGAACTGCTTGAGACCGCTCCCGATGTAGTTCGCGCCTATGAGAGAGAGAAGAAAGATAAAGGTCCAGCCTTGGACTGAAGTATTCTCGGAGGACCTCGAATTTAGGCCGGCGGGAGTGAAACGGTTTTTGCATTTTTCAGTCACAGATGTGGATCCCAGGGCTTGATTCCCAGACCTTACTCTACCTTACCTGTGTACAGTATCAAGTTGACCGTGTGTCTTGAACCGGTGACCTGTGTGTTAGTAGTTGAAAGCTGTCTGTCGTAGGTCTGAGTAGTTGTCAGGTCTTGAACCTTAGACCGGTCGAAGTAGGGGCCATACCTGCATAGGGGTCATAGTTGTTGTAGTTCTGAAAGGTCAAGGTCGTAGCTGCCACAGTCCTGAAAGGTCAAGGTCGTAGCTGCTACAGTACTGAAAGGTCAAGTCCGCAAACTTCCGGAAGGTCCGGAAGTGGCCTTTCAAGTTTCTTCTCACGTTATACACAGCAGGCCAGAGGCAAGTGGGCAAGTGGTGAGTCCAACTTCGCTTAGTCAGCGGTACCCAGTCCCAGTCTCACTTTGTACAGTCAGCAAGTACCATGAGGGACTGTGTGCACCATGGGCCCGGTGGAAAAGGGCAGACCAGCGACTTACAGAAGTATAGATCAAGAGGCAGCGTCCAGCCATTCATTCATTCCTGCGTGAGCCATGTGGAAGCGCTGCCATAGTGTCTCTTGAGGTGGTCTGCAGATGCCCGAAGTGGAAGTGGGCTGAAGGGAGATAGTTCGTTCATAGCCAGCAGTAGTAGAGCGGCCATAGCTGCCATAGCTAGTGATAGGTGGTATTGAGAGTGAGTGTGTGCGTGTGTGAACCGAGTGTGTGTGCGTGGGATATCCAGGGAGATCCGGAGTCGAGTGCATGTGAACGGTTGGGTGAACACATTGTTGGACAGAGGATGTGTGGGTGCTCAAGCGCCATAGCCAGTTGGAAGCGAGTTTATATCTGAACTGTGTTCTCGGCTTGATTATCTTGGAGCTTTGTGTGGGCGCACAGCGCCAGTGTGAATTGCCATCTGTTTGCATGTATGCGAAGTGAAGAAGAAAGCGCGTCTGATTTCATTGGTATCGGAGCTGGTTTCCGCTATTCCACGCGCCGTCGTCGCTCAGCGGTGTGCTGAAGTTGGGCGCCACAGTTGATTTGCCATCTGTTTGCATGTCCTGCTGAATCGCCCAAAAACTAGTGGCTTGGGTCCTTATCTAAGTCCAGGCCCTTTCCCTGCTGGCTCAGCTGCAGCACCTGGAAAGGAAAAAATGGGCCTGGAAAAAAAAACGGGCCTGACATAGAAAGAGGGACACAATCCAAGCCACAAACTTGCAAACTGGGTCAAAATGTGAATGTGGCAGGGATATGAACCGGACAATCCTGTGCCTGGTTGGACGAAAGTCCCGGGAATGCAATCAGGACCAGGGCGAAACGGATGGGCACAAAAGAAAACCAAACTGACACACAAAATGTGCAGAAAAATAAAAACAAAAGCAAATTGGTCAAAAGACTCAAAACTGAAATTGAGAACAGACAAAATACACAGTGGACTGGACTCAGAATTGACAAAATACTCACGCGCCCGTCTGGGAACTCACTCTCCCATGCGCTCAATGTTGCTAAAAAAGGCCTTGGAGGGGTCGTTGTGGCCAAGGGCTTGCATAAGCAGATGTCTGCTCGCTTAGGCCCCATGCGCAAGGCCTCAGCATTCCACCAATAGTGATTATTGGTGATTGCCTATTTGGAGTTATGGGAACAGCCATGCTTGACCCAGATATACGAATGAGGGTTAGTGTCCTTCTTTTTCTTTTTTCCGTTTTAGGATACAAGTGGACCCGCTGCAGCTATGCTGTGGTGAAGGACGATGACAAAATATTTCGCGAAACACCCCAGCCCAGTGAATTTGCACACCCACCTGATAGGGGCATAACATAAACATGTCAGCCCAAAAGGCCATTCCACTGTGCCCATATCTTTTAGGGACATTTTGACATATATCTCAACTTAGGGGGTTATTTGGAAAATTACTCCCCCCCCCCCCCCCCCCAAAAAAAAAAGAGGAGACTCTCTCTCGCTCTCTCCCTCTCTCTCTCTCTCTCTCTCTCTCTCTCTCTCTCTCTCTCTCTCTCTCTTTTCTTTTTCTTTTTTGCACACCTCCTCTCCCTTGTGCGACCTCGCAACCTCGTCCTCCCTGGCCGTCCCCTCCTCCCGGTGGCAGGAACTCCTCCCCCTAGCACGACCTCTTCCTCCCACCGGTGTGACCTCCTCTCCCTCCTGCATGACCTCCTGCAACCTTTCGTCCCCATTGTGCGACCTGTTTGTGCCCCTCCCATGACTTTCTCCTCCCGTTTGCACGACCCACTCCTCCCCCTCCTAAGACCTCCTCCCCCTTGTGTGACCTTCTCGTGCCCCCTCGATGGAAAACTCTCTCTCTCTCTGTCTCTCTCTCGACGGACCTCTCTCTCTCTCTCAACGGACAATCCATCATCTGTTGAGAGAGAGAGAGAGAGAGAGAGAGAGAGAGAGAGAGAGAGAGAGAGAGAGAGAGAGAGAGAGGGTACTTCTATCGATAGGTAGTAGTGTATATTTTGATGTTCTAGCGGTAGATTCATTCGATTTTGCTCATCCTATCGATGGAAGCACTCTCTCTCTTTCTGTCTCTCTCTCTCTCTCACACGCACACACACACACACACGCACACACACACACACACACAGTCTGCTAGGATTGCAAGGTTGGTGTGAGTAAAGTCGACCACTTTTCTCAGGGGTATCGCTAACTCTGGGCGATGTGGTGAGCCCTTCTCCATCAGTCATGCTTTTTCTGATTGTATTGCGAATATGACAACACAAACACACACACACACACACAC